GTTCGAGCCCCCCAGCGGACAAAATCGTAATCGTACCAGACATGCAACAAATGTCGGCTAAATGCAAAATATTACCGACAACAGCCAATAAGGACTTCGGGATGGCGACTCGTACAAGAAAAATCAAGAATTTAAATCAAGAAAATAATACCCCAGCGGAATGAAGCAATATAATACCTTAGTCAGGGCCGAGTAGGTATAGCCGTGTAACAAGATAATACATAGCAACTTTCAACTGAGAAATGCGGTGACAACGCAATTGGGTGCGATTTTACGAATAATCTGTCTCGATCACAAACTACGAAGCATGTGTTCTGATAATGACAAAAGCACACGTCAGCTCCTTGTCATGTCTATATAGTTCCTCTGGTGAGACATAACCGCGAGGACATGATAATGCAAAATTCCTGGGGCAAGACCAGCCACACCCAGTACGTCCTTCTCGAAGTACTCATTGCAGTAAAACTTATATCACATGAAGTTGGCGATATTGACCAATAAGGTCAAGACCACGGAACATGGTGTGATTTGGCTTACAGTAACGACAAATTAGATCTTGCGTTGCTAAAAGTATGATTTGCCGCATGTCGCGATGGTGACGCCACAAATTGATGAGTGATTCAACGAATTACGATCGCAATAGTCATTACGCATGATCAGTAAGTTAGGAACTGTCACCAAACGAAAATCGATATGTACGTTAGAGGAGAGCGATGGTCTAGAAACTTTACGCCTACGCGCTAAGCTAGGTTGCGAAAAATTCACCACCACTTTGCTCTTAATCTCTTCAGTCATATTTTATCAATATGATCTATCCTCACCATGTAACGAAAACTAATTAACGATGAGAATTTGTCATCGACTCTTTTCTCTGAGCCAACGTTGTCATAATTTGAAAATGCTAAGCGGCTCTTCGCCATTCAAAATCGCGTCAAGCAATTTAGCGTCCTCTATAATCCGATTTTTTCGGCATCATGACTTCTGGTAGATTTGACGTCGCCTATCGATTAAAGAGTCTCAGTTCTGACGACCAAATCGATATAATGCAGCCCTAATGCGATGGGCAGTTTAAACTTAGCGGACAGTGTACCGCATTCCAATACTTGAAGAATACAATTCCATAAGCACCGGCCTGCAACGAATTTGATTTGCTCACAAGAAAATGTCAACGGAAATAAATAAGCAATGCAAGCTAAAGTGTCTTAAGTTGGAGAAAGAATGCTGTGTTCATTGTACGCAGAGTGACGAACGTGTCCTTAACATGTCAGTTACCTCCTAGCATCCTATCAAAATAGGCTTCAGCTTCGTTTCAAATATCAACTTGATTCGAAAATGACCTGAATATGCAGCGAGCTTCCACTTTAAGACTGAGCTAAGCTGTTACATAAGTTTTGCAGAGATCGCGCAGCAATTAGGCACGTTTAGGAGCAAAACGACGTGGAGGTGGAGTACGGCTCTTTCGGGCTTCAATCGAGCGACCACGCACAATACGCTGGTGGATAGCGGCTTCCACGCAATAGTAATTCTTAATGTAAATCTTGGGCAACGCGTAAGACTCGTACACAGACGCTTCCTTTAAATCACGAATTGCCGACTGGTCCACGATGTTTCTGGAAAGTAAACATCATCACAGTTGGTAAGTCTTCGGATATGATATACTTCACAAAATAGCGTTTGTTTTAACGCATACATACCGCACAACAAAGCGCTTAATAGCCTTGTCTTTTGGAATGAGCTTGGCTGTGGACACACAGTGTACACGCTTCACGTGGCCACGGCCCTTTTTGTTACGTCCATGGTTGCGGCGCTTCACGGTCATGATTGCTCTTTTCTTTTCTCCAACTATTACTTAAACCACGAATCACTCGCTGGCTGCCACCACTTTGCTCGAACTACATGATTGGGCAAAGATTACTTTATTTTAGCGAATCAGTGTCAGTAATAGTAATATCAAAAGCTTTTGTTTATAATACGTATATCAATCGTTAAAGAAACAGCGCTGCTCACCCTTCAATACATTATATATATCTTAAGTAGTCTAGACGGAATGTTCAGCAAGCTCACTTAGTTAGAAAGAACAGCAGATAACACTGTGATAGCTTCTAAAAAAAGGGGAGGGTGCTGGTGACTGATCGCGCGCAAGAAGGTATATTTATTTCAAGTGCTTCATAATCTGCGGAACGGACTGTTGTAATAATGTCAGAATGGTTACAAAATATGTCTATACGAATTTATACTCAACATACGCATAGATCAATGCAGTGCAGAAAGTCAAAGTACTGGCCATCGCAAGCGCCAACTCCTTTCGCCTTAACACGGTCAAGACACGCCCGATAAGCATTCAGCGACTGCTCGCATTTCGGCTCGCACCCTTTGCGAATCGCCGGCATCACATCGACAGCTTCTTCACCTGACTACGACACAAAGTAAACAATTAACACAGTATAAATGAACGATGCATGTAAGTTAATGTCAACAGATTCACGGACCATTCTGAATTCCGTCCGAGATTAAAAAAATGGGGGTAATTGTAAAAAGACCTCTACTAAAATAGCCAATTAAAATCAATCTGCTAAAAGTAAAATTAAATCTTAAATTTGCATTAGTATTAAGTCCCAAAAAACTTTTTCCTGATTAGGTAAACCGATTTTTGTTCACAAATTTGACAATTGTAATAAAGGCGGTGCTGACCGCACGTTCTGGCGGTCCGTTTTAACACGAAATAGCACACTCCGTAGTCATGCTCTCTCGCAGTGTGCGTACATTTCGTGCCGCAATTGCACGACGTAGCTCTCGCTTAAATACTGCGGCGGATTTTCACTCTTCCAATGCCGTTCAAAGCAGTTTTGTGCAGGTAGTGTAGTCGAAGATACGACTATTTTATCGGAAGCGTTTAACATTTCGCAATTTCTTTCTTCGCTTATCTCTCCACTATACAGCACCGTGACACGGAAGAAAACAATGCTGATACACCATTTGATTTCACGCCTGAAAATTACGAGCGTGTCCACGCCATTTTGGATCGCTACCCGGAGAACTACAAATCGTCAGCTATTATTCCGCTGCTAGACCTAGCGCAACGTCAACATGGTGGCTGGCTTCCACTCGCCGCTATGAACAAGGTGGCCCGCATTGTGGACGTCAAACCTATCCAAGTCTATGAGGTTGCCACCTTTTACACCATGTTTAATCGTGAAAAGGTGGGCAAGTATTTTATCCAGCTATGTGGAACGACGCCCTGTATGATTTGTGGTTCCGAGGAGATCAAAAAGACGATTGAGACGCATCTTGGGATTAAAGAAGGTGAAACTACCAAGGATGGGAAGTTTACGCTGCGAGAAGTTGAGTGCCTTGGCGCGTGTGCAAATGCTCCTATGGTGCAGATCAATGACGACTTTTACGTACGTACACATTGCATTTAAAAAACAGTCTCATGCAGAAAAAATTTCTGACAACCTTTTGGAAATTGTTATAGGAAAATCTTACGCCCGAAACGACGCGCGAGTTGTTGGACGCGTGTAAAAAGGATGCAACGCCTCCTATGAGTAAGTGGGGCAGTTTGCCGATGAATGGTCAGCTATCTTGCGAAGGTCCGCAGGGCAAGACGTCACTTAAGTGGGAGAAGCCACCTGGACCAGGTTTTCGAATGCGCCCAGATGAAGACCTCAAGCCTAAGATTAATCCGAAGGATATAAAAGACGCCATGCTGTACTAGGCCATTTCACTGCAATCTTTAAGTATCTTGTCGACTAACAGACTACATATAACTCGGCAGGTCTTAATTTTGGTAATTCAATAAGGAGCATTATTCCGAAAATAAAAAAAATAAATCTCAAAGGTTCTCAAAATTTTGCTCTCATCAATTCCAAGGACTTCAGCAGCACGCGAGTATTTACTTAACGTCACGTAATAACAGTTTAACAGCGAAGCTCAGTGGAAACGTCTAAGAAACGACAAGTCCTGAAGCAAACAATTTCTCAACAATCTAATCTTTCAACGGAATATCTCATCTTGACTACTCATTTCTTACCACTATGTTGCGACTACAAAACTCAACTGAATGGCCCTTGTCACACATACGACGCGCTATTTCCTTGGCAGTTTCCCGCTACTGAACAAAAATGATACACTTGCCAATGCTCAAGATGGCGAATATATCCAACAACGCCTCAATTTTATTTTCGCGAGACTTCCACTTTACGCCAGAGATTGAGATAAATACGAGTGCATAAACCAAAGATATGCTCCTCCAAATACTATTCGTTGTAGAAATGGCGGCAGAATTACAAGTAACTGCAGTACGACACCCCATGACCACATGAACAGATACGGCAACGTAAGCCAGTGCCACACTGGCCACATTCCAACAATCGCACTGACATAACAAAACAACAATCAACTCTTTTGTCTTGTAGAAATCTAAACAAATATCGACTTACCATAATCCTGATGCTAGCATAGATGCCATCATTCCATGAGTTGCCGTCTTGGCACTCTCATACCGAACGTGTTCTCCTCGTATAATACTGCGGTACACTTCAATGTAGCAGGCAAACCCACCAAGAAGTGTTCCAAAAATAATTGACAAATGCACAAAATTGCGATTCGCAGTAGACGAATGCAAAATTTCCGAAACAAAATTCACTTCGTACATGCCCAGACAAGCTACGACAAATAGTGCAACAGGCCAGATCTTATTCATCACAACACGCATCCAACTCTCGGGATTTAAGCGCCGTGATGCTAAATTATTTGGTACCATTGGATCTATTTCTGTCACATCCATCTCATCATCAGAGTTTCTACCTCGCTGTATTTGATGGTGACGTTCCTTGATCTCCTGCATGTGCATCATCGTAACTGGTTCTTTTAAATTAATGTCGATTCTAGATTTATTAGGGAATCTTCAAATTTTGTCAAAGCTGACCATATTTGACAATTTGCTGCAAATTTTAGCTAATTACATGACACTATCGTCACAGAGAAGCTCTTCAGTAACAAAGAACTAACTAGTAGTGATGGTAATGATAGGATTTCGTCTAGGAGAGTATTGTGGATGCACGGGCTGCTCGCCCCACATTATGCACTAAAATAAGGTTTTTGCGTAGAACAGATATGTAGTACTATTTCAAAATATATAACGCACTAAAGCAGAAGAGAAAAATAAGCATTATTGCCTAAAAGGCTTTCAGTTCCGCTGTTGGGTGAAATGTACTCACCTGCTCTCTGTACTTTAGTTTACGCGGACTCTTAGGGTCAAAGATTCTTATGGATAACGTGCGCAGCTACGCCATTCCAAGTAATAGCTCTTGTTTAGGAAAGCCCCAGCCAAGTGAAGATAAAAGCGCAACCGCCTCTGATCGCGAATCAGCATATTATGTCCGCCCGTGTCTGTCAGGCAGGGGCAAGGACAATCTATGAATCAGGTTTATCGGGTGCGATCAAATTACTTGTCCTCCGTCAAGGGGGCAAGAATTGACGGACAATGTCGTAGAGTTAAAAATTATCCTCGCCACAACGGAGGCAGAACCTTACCTATAGGATATATATGTTTACCGAGGTTCTATGTGCAGTGGCGTCCAGCGCAAAAGCCTTCACGCTCACTTCACCTCGATTAAAGAAGCGTTGGGTGTCACGGTGAACGTGAAAAATTCACTTTCATGTCGCATAAAACAGTTGAGATACGGGCTGTATAGACTTCTTAAACGCAGCAACGACAACGAGCCGCAGCCGATGTTCATAGGGAATAGCGCGTCTTTTGCTATCGAGAAGTATTGTAGTACTAGATGCGATGCTTTGGCAGTATCAAGTACTCACATTTATGAGACTTTTTCTCTCAGTGATTAGAAGAGAAAGCAAATGTGATCGATTGGCCTTTCTTAGACCGTCCTGCGCCAGCTGAAAATGAACAGAATTCTGTTGGACCTCATGGAAGTCGAGGCCGATGGAGCCAGCACAGAGGCAAAGCTTTCTAAAGAAAGTGAAGATCTGAGCCGAGGGTTTGTTAGTGGCCAACATCAACACCACGCACATACTGAAGGTCTGATAGATTTTGAATTCTGTGGAATTACACGTGACGAAGATTTTGAGTTTCAAAGAATATTACGGGGTCCTACCGAATTGTTGAAGGGTCTATAAAAGTTATTGGTGCATTCATGAGCTGTGATAGCATGAACGTTTTCGCATTCAAATTCGATTTTAAAATTTGATCACACTTTTATGATGACTTGGCCGGAGCGTTATGAGATATAAATCATGGTAGATATCATCGGTTGACGCGCACTTATCATTTTGTAGACCTTTGGTGAGTCCTGAATCCATCTGTGCTGAGAAAGAAAGCTGAATCTGACAAAGCCGCTTTTTTGTGTTGGGCATGGGATGCCTAAAGTGATAAGCAATGATGTTGCTGAGTGTCTTGAGCACAGATCAAAAGGAATATGTGGTAGAGACACGATGACAGGATGAATATGAAAGTGGTGTTCGTTCATTGTAGTTTCCAGAAAGTATTAACGAAATAGTAGCTGTACTTCGTGGGCATCAGGTGCTACGTGTGGCTTCACCTGCTCGCTGATGTAACGTTAATGGAGTCGAGCACATTTTTGGTCGCTTGGGCAAGAGCAGGTGAGGACGTATATATTCGAGACGCAAATAGAAGGTTCATGATCATTAGGCGTTATGAGTTGGCCCACTTTTGTCACAATACAACGGTGTCCGTATTACAGGTTGCCGCGCTCACAATGTTAAGCAGTGAGGCCCAGTGAAATTTATTTAGACTTTGTAAAGCATTGTAAGTCTTTTTCATTTACTCTGTCAGAAATCTCCATCGGCCAAAATATTTCCCTAATAGATATTTGCAGATTTTGCTTCTAGACGGCGATGTCACCAAGATGAAACGGTTTGAACCTGAGGGAAAGTCGGAGTTATGATACATCGTGAAAGCGTCCATTTTTGAAGAAGCTTGCAGAGCACAAAGCATGAAAAGGGTAACGGCTATGTTGAAGAATCCTATTAATTACTTTCGCTCCAGTTAGAATAATTACGATGGGGGTCACCAACTGCCAAGGTTTTCAGATTGAGAGGTGCGTTTTGAATCGACTTGGCCCCTGAAAAAAATATACACGACGTAACATCTCAATTGCCTTGAGCAAGAAGACTGTGGGTGCATTTTCCATGTGAAGCTCAAATCGGGGCTAGAGGAACAAGGTAAGTCCCCCCACTTTGCGCCAAAAAGTGTATCTTCTTTTAAGAACCTTATACTTATTGAGAGTGCTCTTTGAACCTTTGCCCAGGTTCATAGATCTTGATAAGGGCGTAGCTCTCGCGGCCGACTGCCTACGAGCTCTATTAATAAAGGTATCCAATATAATTTTCGATCAAAACGGTCGCATTTTCTCTTCAATTATGTACCTGGTATCTGTATGATAACCGAGAGAAATATAGTCAAGCCACTCCTAGTTGACGGGACTTTTACCGAAGCTGAGGTGGTCCTCAGCTTCGCTTCACCTATGCATGAGTTGCGCATATCGTGCCTGTTCCCTGCGGCAGAAAGTCTTGTAATACAGAGATCTGGGAATGGCAAAATATTATATATGTCTTGAGCGGGCTCAGCAAGCGAGGCCTGCCGTTGTGGGGGCGCCCTATCGAAAAGACTGATGGAGCAGCTGCTTTGACTTTATCACATCGTGATCCAGGACTATATCCACCGGGTATCGCCTTGCACTTGGTAGCAAAACCATCATACGCCCAGTCTTTTGGACAGTAGTCACGGCGCGTTTTTGAAGGTTCAGCGTTCGACATTTTTCATTCATTGTTAATTTGTGTGTGATTCGTATGCAGGCTGCATTAATGCTCTCGGTCATAGCTTTGCGTGCTAGGTGCAAAATCCTCATTTGAAGTGAGATGGAATCAGGACTCTGCTACGATTGTGGCCGGTATGGTATCAGAAATATTTCCAAGAAGTATAATTGGGCAGCCATCAGTAATCAAATCATAATGCCAGCCTCAGATCAAATTGCTTCATGGTGGCGGGACTAGCCTAGCCATTCGAAAGTTGGGGTGAAGCCCCGATTCAGATTATATAATATATACGGCAATACGAGAAATCTTATTTGCCATTCGCAGCGAAACTGTGTTGATGCTGCGCTGCGTATATTGGCCCCTGGTCAGTTTATGCTACGAGCGGCGTATAGCCAAGCCGGCGTGATCTGATACTGACAAAGCATACTTCATAGTAAGTAGCTCCACTTCATATATTCAAAATATCATTTCTTCAGCCTCAAGCTGGCAAGCTTCAACCGCAATTATGCGTTGATGCCTATCGGCATTAGCTTTAAGTAGAGCGTAGTCTTCGACAAATGCCGAAGCGTTCTTGTCAGCAGGCGTTGGTTGGGCCAGATTGAAGAGGGCCAGAATCTATGCAAACATTACGCTTTCTATCACAACCTCTCTTGCTGTCTTTATTGTACAAATGCAGCAAAATTTTACATTCTCTTTAAAAAAGAATGTTGACCTTATTGTTTAGATTCGCACTATACTTGTGAGCAGTAAATGTTCGACCAAGCCACTTCCTTATGTATGAACGAGCAACACTGACCAATGTACGCTGTCCTTGAATTTCGCTGTGTCTGCCTGAAGACTACGCCCCCATGATAATATACAGAAATTTCATCGGTTTACGAAGCATACACTCGAGGACTGCTCTTACGTTTGATGTGGTCTTCCATATATGCTCAGCAAGGATATGGGCAGAGTCGTCGTCCGATATAATTATATGCTTATACGAGCCGTTCCATCCGACTGGTGAACATCGATGAAACGATAGATTCTACCCGGGGCATAATAAGTCACTCTCAGCATAACCTGATCATGTACTCACCGCAGTAAAATGTTGCGCCGTCTCGCACTATCAGACGATGTTGTCTTTCAGCTCGACTTAGGGCATTAAGTATTGTGTGGTAAGTGCATACTGCCTATCATAAGCATGCATGTCCCGCAACTTACCGTTGGTCTATTTCACACTTAAAGTCGGCGTCAAGTGGGAAGGCTGACTCTATCTAATCAAAACGCAAACTTCTCCTCTCTGTCAGGGCCATTGCTAGTAACGCAATAGCTCCCCGACCAAGCCTGCCATTCGTGGCAGATCTGTCACCGCGTCATCATACTACTTCACAGAGAGTAAGAGAGATATGCGTTATCGTTCAGAATTGATCCACTATGTTTACCTTGGTATCTGCACATAGGAGTAGATTACTGTCTCGCCACAAACTTAAGCAACTTTGCATTCCGCATGGTGAAAGCCCCGCAAGGTGATGCTGAGTTAGCAGTATCGCTACGTCGTGACACGATGGGCGATTCAAAATATCGTTATAGATTAAACGTCAACTCGCGAGTTATGGTCGCATGTCTCCACTGGCTTCGATCGGGAGTTTGCGGCATAAAGCATCGTAACGAAGTCGAACCCAGGATACCCCGACATATTTTGCTCTCGTCCGTCCCGCTTAAAGTAAATCGGTAAGGACTTAGGTTGCGGTTGGCTGTTCCTTTCTAGCAGAGATACACTGCTTACTGCATAAGATCGCTACTTTCACAGATGTAGTACCTCGATAGCTAATGGAGAGCTTTTTTCTTCATCAAGATTGCTGACATCCATCATATCTGGTATAGAGCCTTCTCCTTCCGCACTTCAAGAGGCCTTCGCGGCACGATAGAATTTCTTCATAATCAAATGAAACACACTACAACGAGTTTGAGTAGACGCGGACGGTCTCCACGCATGCCACTCCTGTACGGAGAGTTGGTTACATTTGCTTCTGGGAGAGGATCTACCGCAAACCCGTATTCCAGAGCACTGTACTTCTGTATACCACTCTATCCCTCTCTTGTTAGGTGTTGATAGCACACAATACACCTGACTTAGCGATATAAACACCCGTGACATTTGTCGCTTTATCACTTTCGTTTTTAAAAAAGACCAGACTCGCAGAATCCTACCTTGGAGTCCGCTAACGCAACATGTTTGCTTTATGTAGAGCATGGCTGAATTCTTGGACATCCCATCTCTTCTTGTGCAGAGGGAGCGGTTTTTCGCTACTCGTAAAGGTTGCTCTGAACGATGCAGTGCATTCATCTACCGGCTATACACCGTTCTATGTAAACGGGCTTGTTAATCTTCGCGTCTCGCAGACACCTCCAACCCATGGCTTAGGGCTTGGGTGGGGAGGAATAGCCGAAAAGCTAGCTGATCTCAGCCCCTTAAGTGATATGGAACTCCATGACAAGCTTTCTGGCCGCTTGATATCACGGATGCATTGTTATGCATTGAAGGATGATCTCCTTTACTAAGAAGTTGCACATGGCTTCTAGCCGAGGAATTTTATTCCCCATAACGATGATTTGAAAAAGTGGATTGTGTACGAGACGTATTATACACCGGCGGCCGGTAGCTTTGGTCAAAAACTAACGGTCTGTCACTGCCCAATTCAGGTGCCCGCATGTACCAGTGGATTGCACTATAAGTAACAATACACCACGTTTTTCAGCGCGTGAAGAGCGCTCGGATCATGCAAGTGTCACTGCAGAGTTTCCCTGATTCTTCTGTCAGCCGGTCTCGACTTCAACTTCGGTTTCTTGTGAATGCTGATGGTCGCAACGAAAAGCTCGTGTTTGTCTACATACTCAGCAAGATGGTTCACATCGCTCCATGTAGCAATTCCATCGATGACAAAGATTCGGCTAAATTGCTCATTGATCACGTTTTTTGCAATCACGGATGCCAGAAGCCATCGTCTCTGAATGTGATACACAATTCACGAGTGGCGTTCTGGAAGAATTGTCTCGAACTTTTGGCACTTGCTTGGATATGTCCACGGTGGTACACTCGGAGACCTATGAGCAATCAGAACGTGCCGTCAGTGATGTGTTGAGAAGAATTTGAGCGTAAAATCCTGCAGAAAGAAGTTTGTTGTTACCATTGGTAGAGTTTTCTATAAGCATTTTGGTTTATATATCCACGGAATCTACGCCAGCTTCATGAGAGGCGTGCGAGACCCGCAGTTAGCGACTTGTGCGATGGGTGGTGTCATTGATGGAAGTGGGAGAGAAGCGCGGTAAATTGTCGCCTCCCAAATTGATACAATCAATGATGCGAATATGACACTTAAGGTCAAGGACGCTCTGGACTCATACGTCATGAGTCGTATAACTT